CCCCAAAACCCCAAAACCCCATAATGCAAATATTGCATGCAATAAAGAATTTTCCAGCTTTTCAATCTCAATTTTAAATTATAAAGAATGAAGAAATTAACTTAATATCAGATTATTATTTTGAATCAAATATTATTGCTTACATAGACTCATTGCCAAGTAGACCCAGGAACTACATTCATTTGAGGTGGATATAATTATTGTTAGGGAGGGTAATTTTAGTAGCCCACTTATCCAACTTAAAATTGCTGATGTTAATCATACATCATTTAAGGTGGTGCCATTTGCTGCTAATTAGGATATTGATTGTTAACCATATATCCATTATTAACAGAAGTATCAACAACTGGGATACCCATGCTTAAGTGTGAGTTATCAAAGTTTTAATGCTAATATCCATTATTTCCATAGAGGACCGAACTATTTGTATTTTGTACTTGACTATAAACATTTGGACCATTGTGAATCTTTTAATCATCAACTTAATTTGTATTATGATGAACCTTGCCATGATTTTACTAGTGCGAATGAATTTTGTTTTTGTTGTTACTGTCACTTTTAAAGAATTTTTTCATGCATTTTCCATTTTTAGTAGCTTTTCTGCAAACTCTTTTATCTTACCCATTAACTTTTTTAACCTTGGTACAACAAGCAAAGACACAGATAAGAATGATGATAACACTAAGTAAGACGATAGGGATGATTATTGCTGCAATTATCCAAAGCTTCTTGTCATCAGAGGCATTTTTAGAGTCAGCTTCTTCGAGATCAGTTACACTATTCATTCCTCCTTGGAGGAAAAGAGTTATAACTTCCATATCATTATCAAGATCAGTAGAGGTTATAATGTCTTCTCCAAACTTAGCCTTGTAAGCAATCTTAAAGGTTTTGAAGAAGGCTTTAAGCTAGTTTATTAGACTCTTTGGGATGGCGTTGATATTTACATCTTTTTAAGATAGTGATTTAGTATTTACCATAGATAGCTACTCTCCAATGTAGGAGATGCACTTATTCACAGTGAAGAATGAGTTTTTATATGTTGAATAGAAATCATTTCGCTCCCTCAACCTGGCAAACTCCTTTACTTTACTCATAAGTTTTTCAAAATCAGCAGGAGTATTAATGTTCATTAAATCTTCTGCAGTAATGTTGTATTGACTTAAGTCGTCTAGACTAGATAGATCAAGCCCGCCTAGATTCCCTAAGTTTCCAAGACTACTAAAGTCAAAATTATTTAAGTCACCATATCCATTAAAGTCACCGTAACCGCTAAGATTTCCATAATTATAGCCTTGTAGCAATCTCTTTGTAACCCTTAAATTAATCATGGTGTTAACATAATCTTAGGCTGATCTAGCTATTGCAAGATGATCGCTGAGTAATGGCTGAATAAATTTCTCTTGGTATGACACTTCTTGATCAAAATCTTTAATCCCATGAGATTATCGGTGGAATGAAACTTCATTTAAATTTGAAATTTCTGCTATTCTATTGCATTCCACGAGGTTTAAAATAGCTGTTACTGCAACTAAGAAGTAATTTTATGATTTCAGCATTAAAGAATAATATTTATAAATCCTAATACAATCAACCCAAATTATTAGATTATTACTAAAAATAACAAAATTTATCTTCAAGACTTTTCAATTTTAGCAGATTGATAAGGCTTGGGGTTTTGGGGTTTTGGGGTTTTGGGG